TGGTATGTGGACCTCCCCCAATACTTTTATCTCACATTATTTGCATGATCTGACAGTCTTTTCATCTGAAGGTTTTTGTCCACCCCCTGTAGCTATCTTAACCATTTCTGCTAGATTATCCAGAGGAGTGAGTATTTTCATTACTAATTTTCAGGGTCCCTTACCTTATTTTCACTGGATCCCTCTCTGTGGCAGGTGTGCTTTTATCAAACCAATTCTGCACCAGCAACCACTATTTGAATATACTTTATACAGGTTGCAACAAGCTTTGTAGAAATGAGGTGTTGAATAAGACCACATAGGAGCTGATCAGGTGGTATTACTGTACTATGCTGTGCTGCTACTCATGAACTATCATGAGTAAAGCATAAGAGAATCCTTCCTGTCCCTGCCAATCATCGGATTGAATACATCGAGATCAGTTTGGTTTTAAAAATTTAAGGAACTTGGTTTACCTATTGCACTGTTCCTCAGGGCTCCCCAGTGCACATTACCCCCCAGATTCTACTAGTGTAGCAAGGAAATCTTTACCACACCTGGTTTCCAGTAACTGGGGTGATGGATAGAGGCTTTTCCTCCAGTGTTAGAGTGAATTCCTCCACTCTTGGAAAAGAGAGCGAAGATGAGAGCACACCTACCCAGGTCCCTGGATGTTTTTCCCAGATGTCAATAGGAGTGACACTAGCCTATGTGGGAGCCTACTCGAAATATTGGTTCAGATTTGATGCTCTCTATCTGGCTGGGGTGTACATGGCCCTTCTGTTTGATCAATATAGATTCCCTACATTGTTCATGGAAGAGGCTCCACTATCTTCTCGTAATTCCGAATGCAGAGTGATCCCATCCTGTGTCCTTGTTGAACACAGTTGTTCCATGTCCTCCCCATAATTCCGGGGACAAGTGGAATGTACTCTGCCCATACGGTTGGGGAGTGAGGATGAATGTTCATAATTCCAGACCGGATGAGTTCTGTTTTCCTTGGTTTAATAAGGCATACACATAATTCCGGGGACAAGTGGAATGTACCTTGCCCATACGGTTGGGGAGTTTTATAACAGGGTTAAAATTTTTATTTTATAATATTTAGACTTGTATAACAAATAAATTATCAAGTCTTGACTTCATTGAATGATAGTAAAGTAATTAAGTATAATATTTGGTATTTGCAGTCTGAATGATATCTTATGACATACATGGAATGAGTTACCAGATCAAAGACTCCTAGAGTTGAGTATAATCAGCATTAATTTTTAACTGCAGACCTGAGGATAGGACAGTTGATCAACAGTACCTGTCATTTATATGACTGTTCTTAACCAAATTACAGATTGACTGTTATGATGCTCCATAACTAAGAGTACATGAGTGGTTTGAGAAGTTTATCATGGCTTAAGCCATGAATCTCCCATTCTAAAGTCTGGCATACTATTCTTTAGGCCACACTCAGCCCAGCTTAGTTTCTGGCTAATATAGTGTTACATGAACTTTTTTTTTTATTATATATTACTCATTATAGGTTGATTTTTAATTTTGTTCTAAGTACATAGCTTTCTCTGATAGGAAATTAATATTAATTATAATAGTACAGCTGTTTTTTACATTTAAATGAAAAATAATGAATGCTATCAATTAGGTACAGGTATGGTCTAGTGGTTAGCATGCCAGGCTTTGAATTGGAAGGTTCATGGTTTGTGTCCTGTTTTCACAGAAATGCACTCCACATTTTGGGGCTGTAGGTGTGATAAAAGAATTACACTGTCTGGTTAAGCAAGAGTAACACAAGAGTTTCTTGTAGGTGCTGTTGACTAGTTGTTTCCCTTTAGCATAATGGCTCAAAAGTTGGGATAGCTATGCTCAGATGGCCTTTATGAAAACTAAACAACACTATCAATTATTGAAATCAACTTGTCTAGTATGTACTTAATTCTTACAGATTTAAATCAGTGTTTTGTATGTTTTGTTTCACGTACAATGAGAAGGATGCTTGTCCGGGTTTTATGTATATGTGTAGGTGTTAAGGATTCTTCTACAGTAGGTGTCTGTGACTTGTGCAATAAATTTGAACAATAAATGGACAGTATGCACTCCACTTGTTTTAAAATAATATATTCAAAACAAGTTAAATGTATGTACAAAAAATTCTTTACACCATGGAGATCATAGTTGTATCTTAAACACTATAAAGCTCGCTTCTCGTCAAACGTCCACTTAGACTAATTCAATTGCTTTAGAATCCAGTTGACATGCTGAATTATTCGTTTCTACTATTATCACAATAATGTTAGTAAATAATTCACATAGGCTGTCTTGTGCATTACCATAGTTGTATCCTGAACTTCCAGAAATTGTCTTCCTTTCATCAAAATTCACACAGGTGGGTCCAGTTAGTTTAGAACACCCTTTGACAAGACAAATTCTTCTCCTTATCTCTCTAAAACTGTTAATCTCACTTTAAAATATCAACCGTTAAGGCTATTCATTCCCACAATGGCTAACTTCATGTTTTATAATTATTCTCTGACAGAACTTCTCTATCACTTGACTTTACTTTTTCTCCTCTCCTGCTCGTTTTGTCGCCACTATCTATATGTTTATCACTGAGGCCTCTTGAAATTTCTATAGCCTCAACATTAGTGAATTGCAAACACAATTTATGATAGCCTCAACATCAATGAATTACAAATACAATGTCTGAATCTTGCCGAGTTAAGTAACTAAACTTGTCATAACTATCGCTTTTAAAATAATTGCTTTTAATTCTCTTGTTATGAAAAAATTAAACAATCATGAAATATCAACTCACAAATTAAATAATAATACCTACACTTAACAGGTTTGTATATTCAACAATACTGCATTTGCTTTACAATAACTAAAGTGGCACACACACATTCAGTCATAAAACCATGTGGTTAAAAATGGTTTTATAGTATCAGGATATAGAAACATAAATTGTTATAAAATAGTCTTTCACAACAACTCTAACATGGCAAAAACATTGAAGCAAAAAAAACAAACTTGCATAAAGAAATACTGAAACTATAGAAATTTCTCTCATAGATCATTCTAAAACTTTTAAACTTTAGCATTAAAAACAAGTTGGTGATTACCTAAAACAGAATATATAAATGGCAAACTTTGTGTCATATTGAGTAGTGGAGGTTACTTGAATGGAAGTTTAAAGGCATATTTAGTTTAATGTCTTAGAGAGTTCTGTTTAACAGATTATTCCTTACAGAATTATTTAAGTTAGGATACAAGAAAATTAATGTTATATTCTGCCAAAATATAATAATAAACTAAGAATTATCTATTTTGAAACTCAAGAACTGACATGCAAACAATATTTAAAATGTATATTAACATAATGAACTTTAATTTTTACTTAATCTAAAACAAGGTTGTTGATTTTATTTGCAAGTGTTATCATGTCTGTAATATTTGTTACTGATATTCACATGAACACCACAGAACAAAGATTCACTTTTTGGGTAAAGAATCATTATGAGGAATCGGGCATATTTATTATCAGTCCTGGTGTATTTAGAGTGTAAAAGTACAGTGAATGTTAAAATAAATTTTGTACTAATGGAATAGGGAGAATGGGGCTACATGTAGTTCTGATAGAAGAAAATAGTTGGCTGTAAAATGGACACCAGTTTTTGCCGGCTATTGGACATTAAACAAAAATATCATTAATTAGCTGAAATTACATATCAGTGTTAAACAATGAGCAAGTCACCAATTTGGTCAGTTTTATTTTAGTTTTTTAAAGACTTGTACAGTTCTGGAAAGAAGAACTTATTGTTTAAGTTCTAAAGAGTTTTAAAATTTCAAGTTTTTCCCCCCATATTTTGCAATTAAAATATACATTTTTCTTGAATACAAAAACAAAATTTTGTGCTGTACAATAATTAAATAATTTTCAACTTTTCTAAGTTGAATTTAATCCATAAAAGTTGAAGAGAAAAAGTACAATGGACAGCACAGAACTTTATAGCATGTACAAAATCAATTTATAAAATGAAACTATTTTATGGTAAATATATTGTTTACGTGATTGTTGTCATCTCAGCCTTTTTTTTTAGTTGTTTTTTTATAATGCCTTTTTGATTTTACTACATTTATTTAAATAGTATCTGTAGTGTATAAAATAATTCACTCCTTGCTATAATGTTTTCAAAATGTAGTTTACTCGTGAACAAACGACTGGAAGATTGAAAAATTAACCATAGCATGCATTACTAATTCTATATTTTAAAAAATGGTGAATATAATGTCAGTCTTCTCAGAAGCTATTGCTGTGTATTGTTTATGCATTGTAGAAGTATAAACATAAATTTTATGACAGACTAGAAATAATAGTTATATATTAGAAAACTTTTTCTGTATCTTCCACAAATCAATTTGTATTTCAACTACCAATAAATGATGAATGAAATGATCACCTACACTTAATTGTATTAGTTGTGATTTATTTTTCACAAATGAACTGGAGCACATTTTCATTACTTCTCTTTATTTACAGTAACATGTTATTTTCAGTTTGTGTTCTTGCTTGCACACCTGTAACCAAATGCCAAAATTAACTGTTTCAGTGAAATTAGCACACAGAATGTCTGAATGACAAAAGTAATTGTAAGAATCAGCATAAATATATTTAATTCATAGCACAGTTGCCAAGTGAATTTAGAGAAGATCCACTATAAGTTTTTCATAAAATTAGCTAGCAGTTATATTCTTCATCTAGAGTAATTGTTCCCTCCAACAAAGAGAAAACAAAGTTATAATTATCAGTCCTTTTATCAAATGCAATTGTAGTTATGTTTTTTTTTCCTTAATGTTTTGTTAATTGCAATAGCCTTTTCAGTATATACATTTGTAAGTTAAATGGAGCATGCAAGTACACTGTACATTTTGTGAACAGTTCCTGAGTTTTGGAGTGCATAATTAAAATATATATTTATTTTACTTTTTTTTTTTTTCCTTCTGTAATATAGAAATGAAAAGAATATAACAATGTTTGATGGCCGGGATGCTTGTGAGATGAATGTGTAAGTATAAATTCTTGTAGTAGATCATCAAGAAGTTTCTGGTGTTTTCAGTATCGTTGGTTCACAATTTAATGGTTTTGTAATACTAATTAATGAATCTTTTATTTTTGTTCTCTAGAAGTAAAGATTATTATTTATTATCACAATTATTGCAGTGTGAAACTTCTTTATCGCATAGTTCTCGAAAACTGAAAATATGAACTAATTATATTAATGCTGCTACAATATTCTGTTCATTTAGGCAAATGCAGGTTTAAAGATGTGGTGTTTTAATCTGAAGGGTTCATGTCATTGTTGTTCGTGTGTATGTATACTTTACATATAAAAAATATCTAAAGGATGAGTAGGGGTAATATTAAAAATGTCTTGGATAATGTTGATAAGATTGCTGAATTTATCAACAAAGAACAGTTAATGTGAAACAAATGAAATCTCAGGTTAGAGATTATTAATAATTTTGTGCTTGTGGAATAAGGAAAATGGATGTTGATGTAATTCTAATAGAAAAAAAATTAAGGTAGACAAAGTCCGTGTTTGAAGACTTAAGTTAATGTGATGGCAACTAGAAATGTAATTGTTCCATAGGGCAGATTGCTATAACATGAAGGTTTTTTATGCGGGATAAACTAAGAAGAGAGAGTAATATTAGTAAGTTTAGGAAAATTAGTGGTAAGTTTTGGCTGTTCTGTAACTTATATGGATCACATTGTTTAGTTGCAGTTTAATAGTTTCTGGATGAAATATTTTGCTTGTACAAATGATCATCATTTCTACTGACTATGCAGTTATTTTATTAATAAGCAATGGGTGTATAATAACTTAAGACCTGATTTCTAACTTAATTTTTCCAGATGGAAAGTTTTTGATGTAGAAGCAACAGAGGATAAAAGCAAAGAAATTTTTCATATTATTACACATTTAGAACCTTTCACTCAGTATGCCTTCTACATCCAAACCTATAATTTAGCCCAAGCAGCGAAAGGAGCTAAGAGTGAGATCAAGTACTTCAAGACTAAACCAGACAGTATGTGTTCAGTTTTTTGCTCAGTGATATCAGTTGCACTTTGTCAAGTTTAACAACCACATCCATTATTTATGTCTTGTAAAATAAAATAAAGCCAGTCTTGTTAATGCGAGTACAGCTTAACGTTTTTAAGTATGACTCTTGTGTTGAAAATATTAGCGTAGTTTTTTTCTTACAGAGAAATGTGTCACCTTGATTTTTGATCATGGAATTTAGCAAACTAAAGGTATAAAAATAGTAGCTGTTATTCTCTCTTTTTCATTGTAATCCTGGCTATCTAATTATTTCAAGTAGATTGTTTGATTTTGGGTTCTTTAGGATTTTACTTTTAAATATTTAGCATATTAACTACACTCTTCTTCAAGGGCTAAGAGTAAACTTGATTTTTACATATCCAATCACTGCTTTGTCATTTGTCTGAGAAATAATTTTTATGTATTTGAAGTGTTGCTCAATACTGTAAGTTGTTTTTCTATGACAAAACAGTGTCACATAGTGAGACATTTTTAAAATTTGGACCAGAAACTAACTTTTCATCTATCAAACATAAAACACTAAAGTATTCTAGCTTTGGTCAGAAAACAAATAACTTTCTAAAAAATATATTCACAGGTTCTTTAGAAATATAAATTCTGTAAAGTAATGTCAAAAATCTAAATAAAAAAAGATTTTTAGTAATCCAGTTGTAAATTGTCTTGAATTTATGATGATCTTAATTTCACTTCTACTATAGCTCCTAGTCCTCCACTGAATGTCCATGCTCAAGCTATAGCAATTGGTGAGATTAGAATAAAATGGCAGCCACCTAAAAGACCCAATGGGAATATCACACACTACATTGTGGAAGGCAAGCGAGAACTTGATTTTGTATGCCTATTTGGATTATGTATATAAAGGCTACAAACATTAAGTACTATACACATCTTTTATACTAAAACTACTAGATATAGTTTACTTTTCTCCTATTGTAGTTTTTGAAGTTAACAACTTACGTTGAGTACAGTAGTCTCTCTGACTAATGTATTCTGTAGTTGCCATTGTATCTAAAGTTTAAAGGTATAAAAGAAGTGAATTAACTGTTTTGTTAATCCTTGATATAAATGTATTATGCTGCCACTATTTAATAAAAAGCATTTAGCTTCTATATCAAAATGGACTGTTCCAAAAAATACTTTTAATAATTTGGGATCTGATTAACATGATCATTGTTCCATTGACTAGATGATTGATATGACAATTTTTCTTTAAATATAGTTGGTTTGGTAGTGACAGTATTAGCACACAATATACCATCCATAGTTCATACAAATACTTAGAAATCTTGAAAGTATTTGGAATTGCCTTTAAAAAAATCGTAGTCTAGAAACTTAAAATTATTTGTTACTACTGAAGTTTGGGAGAAAAATTATTGAAAATAATAATTATTAAAAGTGGATAAGTAATGAGTAACTGATCATTTCCCTCTGATAGCAATGTGTATCTGTCATCATACAGTGATTTATAAAATTCAAGCCTTTAAATGAACACCTTTATACTTGTGGCTGAATATAATATCAACATGACCATTGTTAAAATGATAGCAAAAAATTACACTCTTGTGTTTGAAATTGAAGTCACTAACAGTGTTCAAGATTACTCATGGAAAAATTTCAAAAGTTAAGGTGAGTACCTGTAATAAGAGTCTTAAGCTGTTAACTTTGAAGAAAGTTGGATATTTTCATTGCTGTTATCAAAACTTTGTTGAAATTAGTGACTAATAACTATAGCAGTTATACTTTGCAACTGAACTTTATAATAACAGAAGTGATACATTTGGCCAGATATTCTTAATACATTTTTCATTGTAAAAATATGCTTATTTGTACTTAAGATATAATATTTGTACTTTTGAATAATGGTGAGAACAGAAGCTACAGAAGGTTACCAGAGTTGCACTGTTCAGTTATGTTTCTCTCATTGATCACGTATTATCTTGCTGCTCTGATTTTCTTGATATTCACAGTTATATATCATTACTGAATTGGTAAAATAATTAATTTTAGGTGCATTTAAATAATAAATATGTAATAACATTTCCCAGTTTACTTAAAATTTTTTTTATTTATAACAGTTTTTTAAATATTCTGTAAAACTTGATAGTATTTTACTACAACTCTCTAAGAGCATGACTTAGTTGATGTTGTTCTTTTCTATAAAAAGAAAAAAACAAATTCAGAACATTTTCCTTTGGTAATATACATTTTAAAATAGTGGAGTAACCAGAAAGCTCTTCAAACTTTGCTATCAGAACTTTTAAATAAACTTATGCATATTTTAAATAAATAAACAATTATTCGATGGACTAGTATCATAATTTCAAAAAATTAGGCTTAAGTTTCACCAGCAGGTTGACAGCAAATAAACCAAAAGGGCAAACTTAAGCACCATATTTCTTATTTTTTATTTATTGTTATAAAAGTGATTAAAATGTCAAAAGTAGAAACTTGATACAAAATGATAAAAACCCTACAACCCGAGCACTTTCGAAAGGTGGACCTTTTTTCTTCAGGGGCAAACTGGGAGTGTTGGTGTAATTGAATGATTGATATATAAGGGGAGTTGAGTGATATCATAAAGGTCATCTGGTCTTCCAGGGAATGTTTGATATATTTTTCCATGTTCTGTTGTAATTATGTTCCATTTCTGGTACAATGGTACTCACTGACAAAAGACATAAAAATCATCGTAAGATACATTTATTCAAACATTTACGTAAACAGTCAAAGTGTGGAAAAAGTGACAACTTAAAGTTAACTAATTAGATTTTACTCCTCTAATCCTCATTGGCTATCCAACCAGTTTATTTTTCACTAAATCAATTCATATCAGTTCATCTGCAATTAATATAGTCTCGGGGCCTTGAAATCTGACTGTTGGTTCTTAAAATGTTTTGGATACCTCTGAATTTCTTCTTTATTAATAATTATGCAAATCCTGCATATTTGTACATTTTATTTTATTTTTTAAAATGTATAAATTTCAATTTAACTTTACATACATAAGTAATTGGAATATTTTCTTCAGTAATAGTTTGTTTTTAAGCTAGTTGTTAGTTTAAAACATTAACTCAGTGTAAAGGATAATATACAATATAATGTAATATAAGGATGTAAAACGAAATTTTTTGTTTAGGTTTTATATGTGCATTTTGAAATAACAAAAAATCATAAATTTCTATATCAATATCACAAAATTCCATTATAATTTGTCAAGCTTACTAACTAAGCTCTGTTTGGGTCTAAAAAATTGATTCTTTGAGCTCACTAATGTCTTACCTTACTGCTTGGAATTTACCATGAAAAGAAAGAGTTTCCTGCATAAATACTTTGCAGAGGCTGAGAAAACCAGTAGCGGACATTCTGAGCTTTTGATTGGTTATGCACACGTTTTGGGTTAATTAGGTGTATGTAAGCAAGTATTTTCAAAAATGGAAGAGGTGGATGAGGCCTGCAGACACTTGTGAGAAGGTTACTGCTCACCAGAGTAATGAAATAAAATAAAAACGAAAATAAGGTTCTGTCGCTGAGGGTAAATAAGATAAACTAACCTCCTGATGATGGCATTCAAGTCCCCATTGTAATAGTAAAGTCCAAAGCTATTAAGTTAATTTCTAGTACGATAGACAAATTATACTAGTATAAAAGACTAACCAAGTTATCTAAAGTAGTATAAATCTCCACCATCATACATTACGTTTACTCATAGAGTTCACTCTAATTACCAATTTTCAGATTTTACCTGAGCCTTTATATGCATTAAGGTGTTCACCTGCATACAAATAGTGCCAAGTTGTTTAAACAACCTTATTAAAACTAAAAATAATTATTGGAAACTTCAACCAAAAACTCCTTAATTTTTACTTCTTTAAATTCAACATAAATTACTCACTATAAAATCGTCATTGCTCAGACAAGCCACAATTTTTATAATCTTCAGTTTTGTTTGGTTTACAAACAGACTTTATTAACTCTCTCAACACAGGCTTAGTCAATTTGACCGATCATATGACCTGTTTCTACTCATTCAAATTCCTTATAGATTTGATACTAGTATATTTTAATATAGTGTGTACATCTTCACAAAATTTGACAGACTTTCAGTAAACACAAGTCTTTCAGATACAAAAAATCATATTTTTAGTGAAGTATTTTTAATAAACTAAAAATAGATTTGTCCTTGAATATATTGAGTATTTGTTTGGAGCAGTTTGTGTGCAAAGTGATTTTCATGTTAAGACTAAAAATACTTTTCTTCATCTCAAAAATCTCAAATTTCATTTGTGTAATCTCTAAAACCTCCTAAATTCATTTCAGATGTTTATTTTCAGTAAAACTATATTTTATCTGTAATTTTCTCTACCCTAACTCTATATGCAGTTGGTTAATTTGACCGACCTTGTGACAACCAAAAATAAAAATAAACCTATATTGCCCTTTTCTCTTTCTAGAATGATTTCAAATGTAATAAGAAACTACATTCGTTTATACAACATAGTTTTAAACTTGTAACAGTATACATTTATTTATAATTAAATTTTATTGCCCTTTGAACCATATCTAACTACTATTCGTGCCATTATAAATTGTAAATCACTTGGGGAAAGTGCAGCTCATGTTACGCTATCAAATTACATTACCCACGAACTACTCTGATCTGCTCATGTGCGACCCTTGTGAAATATCTTTATTATATTATTGTTTATTTTATTTAATCTAACCTAGAGATCTCCATTTTTGCAAGAAATAAAGTACTTACCCGATATTCTTTTTCCTTGCTGTCGATTGATGATAACACTTAACCCTACTTTTTTATACTAATAGTAATAATGCAATAAATAATTTTTATTTAATTAAATAATGTACCAAAGAACATAGACTAATAACATGCAAAAATTAGATAATGTTAAGTTTTTGTATTTATAATAATTATTTTTTCCAATAACCAGGTAATAGGAGTTCCAATAGGAGCTAACTATGCTATTTCTTTAGCAGTTTGCATAAATATAGAAATTTTGGACGTAGACACTCATTATTTAGATACAGAAAGTAAAATAATTATTATGATATCAATAAGAATGTTTTTGATTAAAGAAAATATTTATCTTTTCCAATATACAGCCTACCCTCTTTTAATAGTAAATGTGCCATATTCTTTTATTACTATAGTATTATAACTTCAAAATTACTCAGATTTTAAAGAATTTGTAATAAATTACAATATTTCATTATTAATGTTGAAATATTGATGCAAAAATTAGTATTTAATGGATTTAGTACAGAAAAATTAAAAAATATTATTATGGCCAGGTGGTTAGGACACTCGACTCGCAATCTGAGGGTCGCGGGTTCGAATCCCCGTCACACCAAACATGCTCGCCCTTTCAACCGTGGGGGCGTTATAATGTGACAGTCAATCCCACTATTCGTTGGTAAAAAAGTAGCCCAAGAGTTGGCGGTGGGTGGTGATGACTAGCTGCCTTCCCTCTAGTCTTACACTGCTAAATTAGGGATGGCTAGTGCAGATAGCCCTCATGTAGCTTTGCGGGAAATTCATAAAACAAACAAACAAACAAAAATATTATTAAGATATTTTGTGATAAATATAAAAATGTATTAAATAAATATAAAGAAATAAATATTAAAGAGTTTTTGGTTCAAGTTTCTGATAAGTATTTTTAGTTTTAATAAGGTTGTTCAAACAACTTGGCACTATTTGTATGCAGGTGAACACCTTAATGCACATAAAGGCTCAGGTAAAATCTCAGAATGTAATTACAGTGGACTCTTTGAGTAAACTTAATGTGTGGTGGTTGGGAGTTATACTAGTTTAGATAACTTGGTTGGTCTTTTATACTAGTGTTACGTATCTGTTTGTTTCATAATTTCCGGTAGAAATTCATTCCGAGGAACTTCAGTAATACAGGTCCTTTTATGATTAAACCAGTTTATTCATCTTCGATACAAACTTTTAGTACACAGTAATTCCACAGTCAATACGTTTCTCGTAATTTTAAACTTTACAACTTCTATAATACATGCTATAAATCTCAGTAATTCACACATACTTTATTTACCGTCACTACTGTTCGCTTCTTTAATTATCTATCGCTGGCTTCTCTGCCAGGCTTATATACTAACAAAGGGGGCGTCTTGAATGCACTCGGGCCACCCCGATCATTTGAGAAATTTCACACACGCCACCTGCACCAGCAGTGTCACGTGACTTTTGCTGTCATAACACTAGTATAATTTGTTTACTGTTCTATAGGCTTTTTTTTATATTTGTGTGTATGTATATGTGATATATATATATATATATATATATAACTCCTCTTTATAGCAATCGTGATTGATTCCAAAGAAAAACAAGTGGTGGAGGAAGCAATTGGCACAAAGCACTTGTGGTTTAACAACTCTTATAAAAGTCCTAATGTAACCAGTGATACTAGTAGTGAAGAAGCTATGAATGGCAAGTGTTGTCCATGCACAGAAAAAAAAAGTGAGAAGAAACATGAAGTTGAAGCTGAGGATCAGATTCAGTTTGAGGATGCAATCCACAATACAGTTTATATTAAGAAGTGAGTGACTGTTCTTTATGATTTTATTATTTGTAAATTGTGGAAAACAAAAAAAATTCATGTCTTCAGAGTTCCTTCTACTCTAATTTTCTCCTTTTGTGGAACATATTCAGTTTATGTGATGAATAAATCTGCTACTTGTATGAATCCAGTAATATTTAAACTTCTTTTTAACACCAATGCAACAGTGAGATGTATATAAAATATTCAAAATTGTTTCCTAGTGTCTGATAAATCATGATGGAATGCAGGGATGATTAAGAAGCAGGTTAGTCTGTTTTTCACATCTGATTGGATAGTAGTTTAACTCTGAAATAAAGTCTGAGCAGAGTTGCTACAGGCATATAATGGTGATGGTAAGTTTAACCTGTAGCTACATATAGACTATAATAATTTTCATTTAACCCTCTTAGTATGGGCTCAGTCAATTTGACTAACCACGCGACATTTTTGTACTCATTTGAAATCTTTATAGATTTAATACTTATAACTTTCAATATAGTGTGTATATCTTCACAAAATTTGGCAGTCTTTCAGTCCATTAATATATTGAGTATTTGTTTATAACAGTCCATGCGCAAAGTAATTTTCATGTTAAAATTAAAAATACTTTCCCTCATCTCAAAAATCTCCAATTTCCTTTGTGTAATCCCTAAAACCTCCTAAATGCATTTCAAACGTTTTTTTCAGTAAAACTTTATTGTTTATCTGTTATTTTCTTTATCCTATCTTAAAACGGGATCGGTCAATTTGACCGACCTTGTAATTACCAAAAAAATTAAAATAAACCTAAATTAACTATTTTTCTTTCCAGTATGACTTCAAATTGTAACATGAAACTACATTAATTTATCCAAAGTAGCTCTGAATTCATAACATTAGACATCTAGTTATAATTAAATTTTATTGTTTTATTTCCCTTTGAACCATGTTTAACTACTATTCGCACCATTATAAGTTGCAAATCACTCAGGGAATGTGCAGCTCATGTTATGCTATTGAATTACATTACCCACGAGCTGCTCGCATGCATGCCTCGTGAACCATTTCAATTATATTAATATTATTACTTATTTTGCCTAATCCAGTCTTAAATGACTAAAAGATCCATATTTTTAGATATTAGTAACTTTTACAATAATAAATAAAGAATAAATATGAAAAACAAGAAATAAAGTACTTACCTAATCTTCTTTTTTCTTGTTGTCAGGTTTCGAAGAGAGTTAAGCCTAATTTTTTTTATAGTAATGCATTTAATAATTTTTATTTAATTAAATAATGCACCAAAGAATATAAACTAATAACAGGCAAAAGTAAACAAATTCCCTTAACTCTCAAAATTTTCCTGGCTTTCTAACTATGCGACAAGAGCCATTACAAATTTATCCAAGCTAGTTGTTAACTTTCCCATGGGAACGAATCTTGCACTGCGAGTGAAATTGACAACATTCTCTAAGAAAGAACTATCAACGAATTGTGTAAGAGAGGATGTGGCAGGAGGGGTCTGATTTTCTATTTGATAGCTCTGTAACCAAACCAAATTGAAGACTTTAAAAATTATGGTTTGTCTGAGCAATAACGATTTTATAGAGTTTTTTACGTTTAATTCCGAACATTTTTGAGGGGTGATGGATAAAATAGGGATGATGACATGCAAAGAGGAAGTGGATCACACTAGTGGAAATTCAGGGTGTTTTTTTAATATTCCCTTGTAGAATTAAGAATTTGTATACTCTTAAAATATGGAATATTAGCTAAGATTTTATGCTATTCTAATTGGTATAACATAAACAAAAAGTAGTATAATAAAATTTTGAATGAAAGACACTAAAACCTTGTGTCATGCATAGCAAAGGATACCCAGGGCGATAGGGTTAACTTGATGAATTACTAGATCAGGTATCTGTAGTAGCATTGGATTTAATTCAAGCAACTTTAATGCATCCAATAAAATGCAATAGAAGAAACTAATTTATTTAACAAATCATCTGTTTCATAAATGTTAATTGATGAAATAATACACATTTACTACAAAAGTTTTGCAAGAATACCAACTAACTGTTTGAAACTATTCACAGATGGAATTTCAAATGAAAATACACTAATTCAATACAGGAGCCTCAAATTATATATTGTTTGCAGGTTATACACATCAACATAAATTGATTATATGCATGAAGTGTATTTGTATTAATTATATTAACCTGACTACATCCATCATTGCTTGGATGTTTGATTTATCCTTCTTTATTAATGAAGCAAAATTATTACATTTTTGTCATAAACACCTTGTATATTTTGTGAACCACTTGTTTGAATGGAACAGTTGAAACAGCTTATATCTGAGATAGTTGAACAGTGAAGTGGTTTGATTTTAAGTGAAATCATGTATGTGGGTTTTCATAATTTAATATATATTAAATTACTCAGTCATGTACTTGAGACTGAAGTTTTTATACATAAAAATATTATAATACTTGTATCGTGGCTCAGTCTGGTAAGATTTCATTAGGTAGGGTAAAAATAACTTTTAATGAATTTTTTTTTATGCAAAATAATTAGTATTAACCTGCAGATCTACATATTAATATATGTAGTGTGTGTTTTTTTAAGAGTTGCCAGAATTTTTATTATCAAATGCTGTTTATTGAAGATACTGAATTTTAGAGATAGTTTGAACCATTTTGTAAGCCTAGAAAATCAAACAAGAATATTGTATTTACTGTTACATAGAAATATGTAAAACTTAAGAATGTTCTTTAAATTTGAATCTGTAAGGCAGGAGTTTTATATAACTTCAAAATGATTAACATTATTGATGAAAACAAAACAATCATGAACATTAATACTGAAAAGACAACTGCAAGAGAAGTTCATGGAAGTTGAAAGCTGCTTAGTTTCATAGAAACTTTATAAACTTTGAAAATAACTTGGGATGGTGTTTAAAATCTTTAAAAGTATTAAAAATATGCTTATATAAATCAAGTTCATCTTGCTTTCTTCATTTTCACATTTATTTTTTAAGAAAACTATAAGTCAGATTTTGAAAATAATAATATATATATATGTATATATAAGTACTTCTTTTTGCCAATTATCAAAATGAATGTCTTTTACTTATATTTCTTAATAGTGTAAATATACACTATGTTGTTGATTCTTCTACAGTAGGTGTCTGTGACTTGTTAGCGATAAATTCAATGATGAATAAACAGCACACACTTTACTTGTTTTCAAATGATATATATATATTTTGAACAAGTTAAACGTACGTACTACAAAGTCTTCACACTATAGAGATTACAGGCATATCATAAACACTATTTATATATAGGCCTATTCAGTTACTTTAGAATTTCAGTTGACAAGTTGAACTATTTTCTCTATATTATTATCATACTAGTATTGTGTGTGTGATTCACTTACAGTTGTGGCGCAAGTTACTGTAATTCGTTTAGTCTTCTTTCTTCTGAAGATCTTCCATTCCTTTTGTCAAAGTATACCCAGGCTGATTCAATTACTTTAGAACCATGCTTTGACGGAATAACATTGACCTTCTTATCTTTTTTATACTGTTAGTTTCACTCTAAAATATTAAACGTTAGGCCTATTTCAGTCGTTAGGCCTATCACATCTACGGTACTTAACTTCACACAGCTATATTCTCTTTTGCTATTATCTGTCTATTGTTATCTGTCTACTGCTTCCCGCTCGTCTCACCTTATTTATATCTTTATTACATAGTTGGCGTATTCTCGACACCAATTAGTTTTAACAAAACCTTCTACAACCGTCTGCTTTTAACTCTTATTATAACAAAACTTAAAAATAATAAAGTATTCACTCACAAATATAAATGAATCACTAATATTTAAACCAATCAGTCTTTAATTTCATGACACTATAAAATCAATGAAACCCTCAAGAAGTTATTTAAAATAAATTTTTCAGTATTTTCAGCTGAAACATTATGTAGGACCTTGTACTTAAAAATCATTGGCTAAAATATTTATAATTGTATTATATTGTGCAGTTGCATCAAGTTATGTTAAGCCAGATAAAAACTTTATTTGGTGAGAGGCAATATTATTTAATAGTTTACAGTTTTGGGGATAAAGTATTCACAAGCTAGCTTCTTGAAAGTTTTTCCTAGTCAAATTAGTGACTGTCACATTATTTGGTTGCTTTCAACTTTGGATCCTTACTAGTAATTTAGCAGTTATCAAATGAAAATATATTAAGCATGACTGTTTTAATATATTTCCATAAAGTCTAGTAGTTTATGTTTTTGTTCAGAACCTTTTTACAATCATTATTTTATAAACAATTTTAAAATAAGAATATTTTTCTGTTTTACTTTGTGTTGTTCTTTGACTCATAGTTTGGGAACTGATGATGTTCTAGACAAAGAATGTGTTCTGTTAATGTTTAACGAGCCTGATGTCTTCTGAAGAGAGTTGAAAGCTAGCTCTAATAAATAGAGCTGGGTGTAAGATATCAGTGTATTGTAAACCTGTAGTTTATTAAAGTACTATTTAAACTTACTCATTTATCACTTATGTTAGATAAAAATGACTCTCCAACCTCATCTATATATCAGAAGAAAAGAAAATTATAATTATATTTCAAAATGTATTTGAAGTGTTATAATAAATATTGTTACGCCTCCAGTCGTTAGTTAATTTTCCGTAAATTCGTTCTGACGAAACTTTAGCGACACAAGTCCTTTCTTAAATAAAACTGGTTTATTCTTTCTGAATATAACTTTACGATACACTTAGTTTCAACAGTCGCTCTATAACAACGCTATGTCTCACGTGGCCAACAATATTTTGTCCGCATACATTCAATTGCTCATTACCTCTGTTGTCCCGTCACATTGTCAACGTCTTATATATACAAGACTAACACATATCTAGTAGTCTCCCAATAACTCACGAAGGTTCGAGAGAAGGAGTGGCGTGATACTAGTCACGTTACCTCGATGTCGTAACAATATTAAAAACATGATAATACCAAAAAACTTTTAATTATGGATATTTTGGAATTGCTTCAGATTCCATCATCAGCATTAAAACCTTAAAAAGTTAACAATTTTCTAACTACAAAAAAACAACATTAACTATTAAGCAATTAGTATCTTATCCAATCAAAAGTTTAGAAAGAACAGATTTAAATGGTAACAGTATAATATCTGTTCTGATTACTACTGTCTTCGCTCAGAAATTTCCAAAAGTCATAACATTACAAAGTAATGGTTATATCCTTAATTTTTACACAATGTTACATAAACATTTTTGAAAAATGTAATAGAAATTTCCAAGAAGCCACACACTGTCTTTAAGTATCAACTAGTTCTTATCATTCCTTTCATGGGCAAACATAATTTTAAACTCAAGTCTCAAATTAAAAAATAATCAAACATATTACCCACTAGTTATTCTACATTTAGTATTTAAGTAAACTTGTAGAATTAAAAATTTGTTTAAAACCAAAGACATTCTACTCATCCCTACGCACTCATGGATTGTATACAAATACATTTATGGTACAGGAGAGTAGGATGGAATTCCAATGTGGTTGGTTATTCTGAACAACAATAATTTATGGGGTCAAGTTTTAAGTAAATAAATGCCTGGCATATGTATACTTGCATTTCATCTGGTCTTGATAAGAACAACATATATTTACATAACTGATTGAATTAATACATGTATAAAAATTAACCATATTCACTATAATATTTAGTCATTTTCCAAATCATTGTAATTTACTTAATACAATAATATGATCAGTAAGTAGTTGAATAAATATAAGTGTTGTATCATAAGCAGTCATTTTGAGTGTCAAACATCTTTGTTCTATGCTCAGGATTGTTTGAAACAAATTCTGTGACTATTTTCTCATGGTATAGTTCGTCAACTTTTTCTTTGTATACACTCATTATCATTAGATGATTTAGTACTTTCCCATTGTTGCTCTCAGGTATGTTTTTATTCTCTTCAGTATGGAAAAATCATGCTCACTGGTAGCATTTGTGGCAGGAAGAAGGAGAACTAATTCAGCTAGAATAACAAATTCTGATATTATCCCTTGTTGTCCATGGATCAGACATCTGATTTTGTTGGTGATACCTGTGACAGTAAGTGATGTGTTTGTAGATAGTTGCATCATGTCCTTGAATGTACACATCTGACATTTGAGATTTTGAAAGTTGACATCAGCTGTACATTTTCTTTCCTCCTCCTATTTAAATGTGGTAACTAAGACAGTACTGCATCTGATGGCAATATGTCTTCAATATGATCACCAGCATATCATTTTCCAACTTCCAAAGTTCTTATTCACAATCTCCACCTGTTGCTGCTTTAATAAGTAGGTCTTACAAGTTCATGTATGTTACATAGCAGGCTACTGAAACCTGCTTATTAACCCTATCTCCCTGGGTACACTTTGCTGCACGTGACACAAGGTTTAAGTGTCTTACATTCAAAATTTTATTAAACTAATTTTTTTTCATGTTATACCAATTAGAATAGCATACAAGTTTTAAGTTCTTAATTTTACAAGGAATTACATAAAAAAATCCTGAATTTCCACTAGTGTGAACCATGGACACATTTTGTCTTAGCATGTCATCATCCTTATTTTATCCATCACCGCTTGAAAATGTACAGAATTAAACATAAAATACTCTGTATAAAATCGTTATTGCTCAAACAAACCATAATTTTTATAGCCTTCAATTTTGTTTGGTTACAGAGCTATTAAATAGAAAATCAGACCCCTCTTGCCACACACACCTATCACATCACCTCTTTCACAATTTGTTGCTAGTTCTCTCTTACGTTTCATTATATATTACCTATAACTAATAGAAAGTCAAGGTTTTCATCTATCAAATGACATGTTGTATAACATTGTGCGTTGAACAGTTAATCATCAATTTCACTCGGAGTAGCAACTTCATGGCAAAGTTAATGACTGCTTGGATGAATTTGTAATGGCTCTTGTTGCATAGGTAGAAAGCCAGGAAAGTTTTTAGAGGTAAGTGAAATTGTTAACTTTTTACATGTTATTAGTGTATATTATATGGTGCATTATTTAATTAGATAAAAATTGTTAAGTAAATTACTATAATTACTATAAAAAATCAGGCTTAACTCTCCTCGACAATTGAGGGCAAGAAAAAAGAAGATTGAGTAAGTACTTTATTTCTTGTTTTTCATATTTATTAATAGAAAAGTAACTGAAATTAAAATGTGGATCTTTTTAAGTTAATTAAGACTAGATTAGATAAAATAAATGATAATAATATTAAAATGGTTCACGAGGCATGCACATGAGCAGCTTGTGAGTAATGTAATTTGATAGCTTAATGTGAGCTGCATGTTCCCTGAGTGATTTACAACTTATAATGACACAGATAGTAGTTAGACACAGTTCAAAGGGCAATAAAATTTAAAATAAAATACTGTGACGAACTTAGAGCTATTTAGGATAAACGAATGTAGTTTCATGTTACAATTTGAAGTAGTTCTAGAAAGATAAAAAGGATAATTTAAGTTTATTTCAATTTTTCTTTTGGGTGGTTACAAGGTTGGACGAATTGAGATAGGGTAGAGAAAATAACACATAAACTATAAAGTTTTACTGAAAAAAAACGTTTGAAATGCATTTAGGAGGTTTTAGGGGTTACACAAAGGGAAATTTGAGATGAGGAAAAGTAATTTATTTTTATATGAAAATTTCTTTGCACACTGACTATTAAAAACAAATACTCAATATATTAATGGACAAATCTTTATTTTATTTTATTAAAAATACTTCACTAAAAAAAATGTGATTTTTTGTATGTGAAAGACACAATATTAACTGAAAGACTGCCAAATTTTGTGAAGATATACACACTATACTGGAAGTTAGAAGTATTAAATCTATAAAGACCTTAAATGAGTACAAAGAGGTCATGTGGTCAGTCAAATTGACTGAGCCCATGTTGAGAGAGTTAATAGAAACTCAAATTTAGGCCTACAGGAAAATTATTTTATCATAAGTTTCATGATCTTGGCTAATATCATGTTGCTAAGCGATTGTGCGCATGAATTACGTTTGTTGTGTCTTTTATCTGATGACACGTTCTAGATCTAGCTGCTTTCCTAGAAACATACTAAGTCGTCTGACGTGCTATGGAGGGATGATGAACATGCATATTGCAAACCACTTCCATAAAAAACATCGAAGTAATAACATTAGCACAGATTTTACAGACTCAAACCAGAGCATTAGCAAAACATCCTGGTATTTACTCGATCTACCTCACTTCCTTGTGGTAGCTGTAAAGTTACATGTCACCATCAGATACATGCACATGAGCTGGGAGGGGATATAAGCTTACTAATCTGCCTGAATCTTGTATCCTATTACACAGTGAAAATAACATCTACCCCGTACTTCTTGAAAACTTTAAAGTTTTTGACTCCGGAAGCACATATTATGAACGCTTTGTTAAAGAAAGCCTTTCCATTTTCAATGATCACCCAACACTAAATAAGGACATCAACTCCTCCCTGTTGTCATTAATCAATTTCAGATTCTCAGTATTCTTATTTTTATTATTGTTTTAAAAATGCATTGCTTATATTTATCCTTTCTTCATAATGATTTTTCATAACAATATTGTTACACATATGCTTAATGTTTTATCATGCATTCCATTATATTGTTACCATTTAAATCTGTTCTTTTTAAACTTTTGATAGTATAAAAAACTATTTGCTTAGTAACTTTTTTCTTTTTGTTTTTTTGTAGTTAGAATATTGTGAACTAAATTTTTGAGGTTTTAATGTTGATAATAGAATTTGGAGTAGTTCGGAAATGTTTATAAGTAAACATGTTTTTGATATTATCGTGTTTCAAATGTTTTTTGTCTCAAAATATACTTTAAGATGTAATTATGACAGTTTTCTTGCAGTTATTTTATTTTGATGTTATACTTGTAAATAAAGATCTCATTTTAGAAGGCATTAAAAACAACATAAAAAATATTGCTTTAAACTTAATTTAATTTCATGTTTAATTAGTACAGAGAATTGTATGCACTTTGAAGGTTTTGACTTCATATTAGTGTAGAATCTTTAAAATAAAAAATTCAATATAAAAATGTTTTAAAAGCTGTTTAACAGGCTTTTTTGCAGGTAGATGAAACAGTTTGAGATAAATGTAATTTTTAGTGAAGTACTGAAAATCTTGATTGATTCTCTTCATGTGAAACACTAAATGATACAAGATTCCTACATAAAATACCTGTTTCTGACTTTTATTAATGATTAAATGTTGTTTTAACTTTTTTTTTTTAGTTAAACTTTTATGGTCTTTGGCAAAGGGAATAAACACTAAGCATAAAAAACTAATTTTGTTTTTTTTTATTAACAAGTTTTGAATATTAATCTTTTCTTTTCAATAGTTTTGCATTTCAAATAGGTTAACAACTTTGATACAAGTTTTATACTGCCAAATTTGAATTAATTAATATTAATTAAACTTGTTTATTTAAAATAGTTTGTTAAAGAAATGATTTTCATTAGTGATATTTATTTGTTTTAAAAGTCCCAGTTTTTCAAGAATTAAGGGAAATGATCGTCCAAAAAAAGCTCTCCACACCACACTGAGTTCACAGAGCTTCACAGAGTCTACAGTTGAAAAGAAAAGTGACTTTCTGAACACCTTGGAACCTGAGGTTATGACCACTACGACAACATACACATCAAAAGGAAATGTAACAGAGAATGGTGTTTATGTTCATTTTAGCACTATTGCCACACATACCAGTGTTACGGTGTCTCAACTACATCATTACACAGAATACACTATTGAGGTAATACCATACCTTGAATGATAGCTTCATTGTTTTTTATATATTTCCACCTTTGAATTAAGTTAAATATTGAATTCTGTTGAAGTAGGAGAACATACTGCACTTTTTTTTAAATGGTAATTTTTATATCTGATATATGTGATAATATTTATTTATTACTTTCACACTGGTAAAGATTATATTTGTTTATTCAAGTATTATAATTTTTAAGTAATACTAAATCTGAAAAGACTTCATTTAACTGAAGATTTCAGTGTACTTTAAAGATTGTCTTGTAGTGCATACTGTAGGGATTTACACATTTTGATAATAAAGTTAGAAAATAAGAAGCCAAAAGATGAAATGTTGGTTAAAATAAAAGTTCTCTTTTAATTATCTGGACTTTAAAGGTCATTTTTTCTAACTTTGTTATCAAAATATGCTGTAGAGGTTGTTAAAATTTTTGTGTTGAAGGATGTCAGGAAAAAACAACCTACCCTGAGCTTTCAGGCATATGCTTTCTGTAGAGAATTAATCAAGTGTTGGACATTACATAGTATCCTAATGTATATAAGTACACTTTGTAGTTTTATCTTAATGATAATGTTACATACGTGTTTAAATTTAAAAAGAATGGTTTGATGTTAACTGTTTTTGATATGTTTTATTCTTAATTTTCTTAGGTCCAAGCTTGTCATTATACTGACAAAGAAGAAAATACAAGATGCCCATTTTACAAGCCTTGCAGCACAGTAGCTATTGCTAGCATTCGCACTTTACCATTAAGTAGGTTTAGTATTTTTTTATATACTATTTAAACAATATAATTAGAAGTGTATTTAATTCATACAATATAACAGTATAAATTGTAAATCACATTTTTATAACTTATGTTATAAGTGAGAGAAACATGTCTCATGCAGATTATTTACTGTACATCTAAGCTTGTTGTTTTTGTGACATTATTTGAAAATTTGTAAAATGCAATTTTGTTAATTCAGAAGATAAATACTTGTTCCAAACACATATTTCAATAATTATTTTTTACCCTTATCTATGATTCTTGCTGTGTTCCTAACTGAATTTAAACTAGAAACTATTAGAAATTATTAGTGTGAAAAAACTAATTGCTTTACAATACCTTAAGTGACATTAACAGTTTGAAGAGTTAATAAAGACTATTTTAATTTGTTAGGTAATGCTGATGATATTGATAGTGCTACAATATTAGTTCATCCAGACAATACATCTGCCAAAACAGTGCATATCCAATGGGATGAACCAAAGGATCCAAATGGTGTTATTGTATCTTATAGTATTGAGTATACACACCTAGATGATGATAATGTGAGTAAATGTTGCATTGTTATTTAGACATGTACATGATAAACTATGATTAATAAAAAAGTTCACAATAATTAGTTAATCCTCACAGATGTTGTATATGTAAAATATTATTTTATTGTTCTTCCCATATCCATAACTTACTTCATCTTTAAACTTTTCATTATCAAAGAAGTGTTCTTCAGGAGTGTTCACATACACAATGCTGTGGTATATATGCCATTTATCATAAACATAATTTTTTTATTTAAACAGAATGAATGGGTTATTGTTTCTTATCAACTTACATAATCATTATCTATGAATTAATTTTTGTAGGAAAGAATAAGTGATGTAATTTGACCAATATAATAAAATTGATAAGTTCCAAGAGCCCCCTAGTGGCACAGTGATATGTCTATGGACTTACAATGCTAGAAACTGGGTTTTGTATACCCATGGTGGGCAGAGCACAGGTAGCCCATTGTGTAGTTTTGTGCTTAACTTAAAAAAAAGTTACAAGAACCAATAATTTAAAAATATTTTCAATTTATGTCTTTCATTTATTTCTAATAGTGTCATTTTGCTGCTAATAACTCAAAACAATATGAACTACTGTGTAATTTATGCTACTGTGCTCTTGTCATGTGTAATTAACTCTTTTCATTATAGTGGGTACCTACGTATCTCCCTCTATCCATCTTAAGTCTCTTGCCAAAGCACGTCAAAAAATTATTTAGTGCAGTAGTACCATTAGTGTAAAAAAGTAGACTTAAATTTCACTGACAGTTGAGAACAAAAGAACAAAAAGAAATCACAGTTAATTATTATACTTCTTGTTTTTCATTTGTATAAAAATTAGAAACTTATTAGGTTAGATTAGGTAAGATTACAAAAAATAATAATAATTCTTCAGAAGGTATGCTCTTGAGCATCTTGAGCGTAACATAATTTGACACGATAACATGAAATACACACTCTCTGAGTGATTTACAACTTGTGTGGCCGGATTATCAGTTAGATAGTTCAAAGAGCAATAAAACAATAATATTTAAGTATAAACAGATTTATACTGTTACGAACTTTAAGCTATGTAAGATAAACAAATGTAGTTTCGTGTTACAATTTGAATTCATTCTAGATAGAAAAAAGGATAATTCCAATACAATAACTTACCTCTACTCACAAAACAAGCTTTCTTTGATTTGTACTGCCCTCTGTATGCATAATATTTTTGCCCACCATTAGCCTTTATACTTCCACTAATCTCCACATGTTTTCCATGTGGTATAGCTGCATTGTAACATGCAAAGTATGTGACAACCCTCCACCAATAGGAATATGACACCCTCCTAACACAGCTGACTTCTATGCAGTAGAATTCAATCCTCACTTCTTGATTTGGCACGGCAGTGATCAGTTGTCTTACTTTCCGCTTTTTTTTTATGGTGTAGAACATTTTTGAACTTTGAAAAATTTTAGACTTCAAAAATTTCTTTACTAACTTTTGGATTTTAAAAAAATTATTATTTTTTGCTTGGATTTGAAAAACAATTTGGAATTTTTTTAGTGGACTTCAAGTGAATTTTGTTTTGAATAATTCACATGCATGTCACTACTATTACTACAGCCTCAGACACTATTAGTGATCAACAATGTAACATGATGGCCCTTGTTTGATGCGAGATTTCTTGCTTCACGCAAGCTGAGGGGCCTCCTGACCATCAACCACTTTTCCCCTACTTGGGGGATCTGGAACGGGATGATGAGAATTTGGATGGCCTTTTTCTTCCCTTATCCTTTGCCTTGCAGTCTTGTTCTCAGACTGTAGATGTTCCACGATCTTCTTCACTGTTTTTGGAGTTTCACAGGTATGCTCTGTTTTGTCTTTGTCTCTCGTGTCATATGACAGAAGCACCTACCACCAAATATTTTGTCTTTCCTCCCTTCTATTGGAGTATGGGAGACCTTACCACTTACCAGCTCCTAGACTCAGTTAAGAATAGAAAGGTGGTGTTCTGCTGGTGTAGGTGGCATGACTATCCTGCTATCTTGGATCCGATGTATGATTCCAGGTGCCATACAATGTTGAATGGTTTTTTTCTATCCCATTTCTATATGCAGTTTACCCCTCTGACTGCGAAACCTTCTTCCTACTGCCGCCTGGATTTCAGTTCCCAAGCAACTGGTATTGGTTGGAACTGGAATAGTAAACATATGTCTTCACATATGAGTGGGCTGGGACCTTCTTCCTACTGGACTGGGATTGACCCTCCATGTTGTATTTCCACCTTCCTACAATCATCCAAATGCCAGTTACCAGGATTGACTGGTATTGGATATGCACACAAGATGGCTTCAGTGTTATTTCTCATACTCAAGTCTTGAAACACAATAAAGTTTCATACTTTATTATTAATCACCACAGTCCTATTTTAGATTAGTATCTTCAGCTGTACCCATTATTAGTTCACATATCCCTGTTCTGTGATAATGTGTATGCCCGAAATGTGTTATAATACATAATTACTCTTCGCTGCCTTATTCTACATTGATATGTGCAATGTATTGACTTCATCATTCCTGATACTTTTATCTTATACTATTATTTTGAATCTAATAAACTGCTTCATGTTTTCTACGGTTTTAATATATTCAGGAGAATGAACGTTTTTTACCACTGCTGATTTATTCAGAATTGGTATATATAGCCTGAAATCACTCTAACTTTCTAAATGGCTCAGTTATTGTTATAGTTTGACTTTGGAAGAAGCAGTTTTCCTGAATCTTTCATATTTCTTACAGCCTAAACCTGCAGTAGTATGTATCACTCAACTTCAGTATAAAGCAGAAAAGGGACACCATCTTACAGCTTTGTCTTTTGGAAGATACTCTCTTCGTCTTCAGGCTACTTCCCTTGCAGGAAATGGAAATTGGACAAAGTATATTAAATTCACAATTCCAGATAATACAGGTATTGTTTTTATTATGTATTTAACAGATACAGTCAGTGAGAAATTATTAAACTCAGACTTTGTTCTCAATGCATTGTGTGGTTCTAACAATGAAGAGGATCTTGGGATCAAAGAGACGTTTTATATTAAGAAAGAAAAACTATAATTAACCCTTTTTAGAATGATGCCATTTTTAAATTCATTTTTACGAATGTTACTGAGTTACATTCAAAATTTAATTAAATAATTTTGCTTATCCACGTATGTCAACAAAATTAACATTACGATGTATGTTATAATTTGAATTTTTATGTTACCTAAGGTTTAATTCCTTTGTTTCAAAAGAAAAATACTTAAACTGCAATTTAAGCTTAAACTGGTATGGAAAGTCTGCACTTTAGCAGGAACTGAGTGTAAACATGTAAGCTTGAAATGTATATGAATGTCTAGACGACAGTGTACATATGTGTGACCATTTGACATGTAAGATATAAAATCTCCCCACTGCATTCACTTGGAAAGATAAATAAATTTTCCAACCCTTGACAGGTGCTGTGCCCACCTTCTAAAGTTTGCCATGAAATTTACAATGTATATGTAGTTAGTTGATACAAGTGTATATAGTTATTAGAAAGAGCTCAGTTTGCACTATATTCCATCAACAGTTGATTTGAAATTAGCATGCAGTTTTCATATTGAAGTGGATGTAGCTGCCTGTAGTATTGCTGTATGCTTGATAAACTATAGCACTTATGGAGATTTGTTACCTGAATATGCTATAGTTAGAGAGACAGTTAAACTGTATTTAGGTCTTACTTTTATATTTTAGTTATTTATGTCTCATTTATATTTTAAAAATCATATTTGAATAATTTAATGATTTTTACGAGTTTAACTTGTTGCCTGGATTGTGAAAGCTTTATAAACAAGATGACGTGTATAAATGCCATCTTGTTTCAGCAACGAATCTCTGTAGGGAGTCTGCCGAAATAACTTCATAAAGTCCTGCTGCCATCAATTGACACATTGGCCTAAATAAAGACAAAGAATTTGAAAGAAAAATTAAAAATAAATTATAAGTGAAAGATAAAGTCATGAAATTATGCATATGTGAAAAAAACGAATGTTCTGGTGTATTTGTACAAAGAGTAGAAAAATATGTATATATTTCTGTTTATTAATTTTAAACATTTCATTGCACTTTATGTTGGTGATAAAAGATAGACTTAGTAGTGACATAATAGAGAAAATGAAAAACAAAATATAAACATTTACCTCAAAAAATCTTTTGATATTAATTTAGGAGGCTCTAGAGATTATGCACATGAAATGTGAAAATCTAAGATAATAAGTAGTATTTTTGTTCTCAAAATAAAAATAACCTAGCATGTTGACTATTCAGAGTCTGAGTGCAAATAACTACATTAAATAACAAATTATTTTTATTAGAAATAGTAGGAAAATTAAAACTAAATTTTTACTTTTATGAAACTGCATACCTTTAGGATGTTTCATGTTAAATTTCAAACAATTTCATCTACTAGTTTCATTTTTGTAAAGAATTATCAGGAGAGTTACCTGAACTACTTACAAAAGTTGTAGGTTATTGTAATAGGTTAAGTAATTTCACATTGATTCACATTCTTAAAATGTGAGTTTTACCAGATAGAGGTATTAATTATAAGAAAACAATAATAGAAGTGGCTCACTGTTTTGCAACCCAAGACTTATAAAAATGACAAAACAGTTGGGCTGATTTTCTCATTACAGGCTTTTTACTCTATCAAAGAAATTAGCTGTACTTATATTTGATCTTAACGGTTAAAAACAAATAAATTGTAGAACTATGAATGAATTTGTTTGTGAAGGTAGTATAGCTTATCATATTACTAAATAATAATATTACTGTTATTTAATATGTTGTTTTATTGTTTTTTACTCAACATGGTGAGCATACATTTATCTAGGAGTTAAAGAGTACATAGCATTCCTGCTACTAATCTATATCTTCTGAGAAACTGTTTAATATATTAAATATTGATATGAAGTCCAATGTACCATTTGATTCACCACTTGTCACCGAGTTATTCTAGTTTTAGGAATTATACCTCTCATCAATATCTCTATACAAAGACAAATCAAAAGAAATAGACAGTTTTAGACACCACCTCTCAGTTTCTGAAATATTGTATCTGTTGGTGACATAGAACAGTTGATGTGTACACAAGTGTCAGCAAAATGCTGTTTGTTTGTTTTTTGTTGTTTTTTTTTCAACTAACTATTTTTTCCACTTTTGTTCTGCAGAGATCAGGCTCATACTAATTTCTTAGTGATTGAATATTAAATGTTTGTTTTATTCTAATGCAAAAATATTTTTAATAATGTGTTTTTGTAATTGTAGTTATAAGAAAGTCACAATGTGAAATCACATCATAAGTTTTGTTGCTACAAATAATGACATTGTACACATCAATAGTGTAACTACTATGCAGAAAAGAGCTTACAGTGTATGTTTCATGAGAAATTTAACATTCTGATACAATGCTTATCAATATCAAAATATTCCCTACAGATTAGTAAATTTTTATTTTGTTAAACATATAAAAGAAGTTGATTTCTTTCTAAATAGGGTGCAGTCCATTCATAGTGGGTGATGTTATCAAACTTACCATAAGCACATTTAACTGGGCAAAGCTAATTCTAGAACAGCTCTATACATTATGACTGTTCAAGTGACATAATATTTAGTTACCCTGTATGGTTGATTAGAAGTGTGGCATGTGACATACATCAGGAAATCTCCCACTGTTTATATTTGCTAAAAAAAAGTGTTTCAGTGTTTGAAAGTTTGCTAAAGAGTCTAACATATAAATGTGACCAGAGTCATATAATTATTTGACATGAAGCAATACATCATTTTAAAAAGAGTTGTAATTTTTTTTTTTCACCTGCCAGGACTAAATATTTGCTCCATATGTGTTAGTATGAGGTTTAACATCTATTTGTTCTGATATAACCATTTTTGAACATGATTTTTTTTAAGCATAACCACTTCCATGAAAAAGGTACATGGCCATCTCTCTTTCTATGTCTATAAATAGAAAAGCCAAAATATATGAAAATACCTAAAACATTATTTTCAGTAGAAGCTATTATTTTGTGTTAAGTCTACAGAAATTAATTATCATAATCTGTTATATTTATTTAGTGAAGCATAATAAATAGTAGTTAGTGTTCTTTTAATCATGAAATTTTCTTGGAATTAGGTGGTCTTACAACAGAAGTACTTGCCCTGGTTGTCTGTTTTACAGTAGTTGTCTTCCTTACCACAGCAATGGGAGCATGGATATTTGTCAAACGAAAGTAAGTTTTTAATTGTTTTTTGTTTACTTGATATACGTTTAAGTGGCAAATCATAAATTCATTGTATCAATTTAGCATGAGTAATAGTTTGGCAGTAGTCAACTAAGAATCTAGGAAATTCAGGGAAAAACAAAAGTTCTGAGAATTTAACATTTCGAAACAGTCTTACCTCAACTCACACAAAGGTATCTCGATCTTTGTTTGCCCTCTAAGCATTGCTACAAAATCTTTGCAATCAGTGCACCAGTCTTTATACCCCATCAGTTTCTCGCCTGTTCAGAACATGTACATATCATGTGACTACTCTCCACCAATCGTATTGCACCATCTACACTGGTGTGGCGAGCTCCCTCTTCTATTCCTGCTCAAACCTCATCATCTCAATTGACACAGCACTGTTTAGACATGTGTTTTTCCACATGCGGCTATCATTTATGAACATGCTTGTTTGACATTTAAATTTTCTTTCAACAGTTTTCTTTTAATATGTTTGCATTCAATTGTTTCAATTTTGTTGGTTTTTTTTTTGTTTCTTCTTTTTTCCGGCATCTTACAAAAGTTACCATGCTGCCATGTTATTCTCTTTAGTGAAGAATCGTTATTAAGGGATCCGTAGTAAGTTTTTCAACATGTAAACTTCACAGCTGATTGATATATCCGTGGTAGTTGCAGTTCAGACACCCTTTGTGTGGCTCTGCACTTATTTGCACATGGGAAAATTACATATTTCATGTCATCAGTGCTTGGACTTTGGTGAGTTAGATATTTATGTGATATTTGACTTCTATACGTGTTGATTATTACTTTATATTTTCAGTCAGTTTAATTGTTTGGCACATTCATTAATATTATGTACCTTGTAGATTCAGCAGATTTCATGGTTTTGTTAGTTTGTTATTAATAAGTACTTTACCTTGGTATGTGTTTCAGTTACATATTATTATTACTAGTAACATAATTTTTGTCCTCTTTGAGTACTTTTTTTTCATCTTTGTTAACTATCTGCTTTCTCATCCCTATTTTCATCAGTGTAGGGCTTACTTGTCATTTTTTATCTAAGTTAATTTAGTGGAATTGTGGTTTGGATATTGATTTTTACGGTGTTTTCTACATAATTGTCTCTGGTTTGCACATTCGTTATTATTACATACTTTGTGAACTAGGTACATTTAGATGGTTTGTCTATTTCATATTTTTAATTGCTTTGTTAACTAGATATGTTAAGATAGTTTATACCTTACATATCATTATTACCAGTAACATATAATGAATAGTTCTTGTTGAATAATTTTTTTCGCCATTGTTAACTATGTGCCTTATCATCCTAATTTTCCTCAGTTTAGGACTCAATTATATGTCCTTTGTCATCTAGGTTAATTTCAATGACTGCTAACTTAGATATGGATTACTAATGTGTTTTGTAGGTAATTTTAGTTAGTTAGCACATTTGTTATTATTATATACTTTGTGGACTAGATAAATTTTGATGGTTTGTCCATTTGTTACTTACCATTCCTTTATTAACTGGATACATTTTGATAGTTTATATGTTACATGTCTTTACTACTAGTAATATATAATTCATTGTTCTGTCTGAATATTTTTTCGTAAGTGTTAACTATGTGCCTTATCATACTAATTTTTCTTCAATTTGGGACTCTTTAAGTGTTTTGTCAGGGAGTACAAATTCACTCAATGAGTCTTTGCACTCTTTTTCTAGGGATGACTGCTCCTTCTTGCTTCTTCCCATTCACAGTCCAGAGACCACACTCCTCTGCACCTACAGGGTGTAGAACGGGTGGGATTCCTGATAACAGGGTGTAAGTCTGTTCTTTCCAACCTCAGTCAGGCACAGCCTTCTCCTCATCGACTTCAGGTTGGGAGCAAGCAGTTCACACATCCCTCAACTTTTCTTACAGTTTGAGATGTTCCATCTTTTTGAGAATGTGGTCTTTCCTGGTTCAGGCTCATGTGAATTCCCATCGGTGGACACCCCCTTGATCAGTGGAACTCTCCTCAGATCCCTGGTGTGGTGGTTAGTACACAATGGGAGTACTGCTTACTCCATCTTGTCCAGATTTACATTGTTCATCTACTCATCTTTAGAGGGTTGGGGTTCTTACTTCTACTCCTAGGGGATTTCTGGTATCTGGTCAATCACAGTCTTTTCTCCATATCATGTTTTTCGAGCCTTTGGTAGTTCATCTTCATGCATGGACTTTGTCAGGTCCATTGTCTCAATCCAGGGACTGACTCCACATGTTGCATGTTTCCTTTCCCAATCCATTAGACCTTCTTCCATGTCCATATACCATGGACAATAGTATGCCTTCTGACTTTGGTCTCTTCACCATGGATTATGTCCTTCCCAACCTTCTGTTCCTCATCTTTCCATATTCTTCACCCAGTTGTTTGACAGAGGCTTGTTCACTTCGTCTGTGTTTAGTTATTGGGCAGTCTTATTGACCTTCTGTTTCTCCAGTTTTCATCTAGTTTTATCTTCCCCTGTCCTTTCTATCCTTTTCTGTTTCTTTGAATTGCCTATTGGTTTCTCAGTGTTGTCTATTGCCCTTTCTCATCCTTCATTTAGACCTGTCTCTTCCTGTTCCATCTACTTTCTCTCCCTTGGGACCTATTTTCTTCTCTTCCTTGCTTGTGATCGTCTTCATTCAGATATTTATGCCTTTAATGTTATCCGCATCCTTTACCATTCCTCCTATGCCATCCTCTATCCTAACCAGTCCTTCTTCCCCAGGACCTATTCTGCTTGTTTAGGTGGTTTGGCTTTACCACCCATTTCCTCACCTTCTTTTTCCACCTGTTCTCCTGTTCAGTTTCCTTGTACGGTTCACTCTTTAAGGAGATAGGATGTAATAGATACTGCCTCCTTTCAAGGTTCACATTCCTGACCTTTTATTCCCTGGAACTATTCCATTTCATGTGCTCTGTCTCCTGTCATACTTAGTGGTTGAGTTTATTTACTCATTAGGCTAGTATATTTGGATTTATCCATGGAAGGTCACCATCTCCACAGCATTCTTCTCATCAGATTTGTTACATCACTGTATTCTTGGCTGCACCACTTTGACATCCTGTGGAAGAGATAATTCAGGCCGGAATGTGGACTACTCCCGATACTTTTGTTGCTCATTATGTGCATGACTGGCTGTATCTTCCTCTAGTGTATATCATCAAGCTCCCATGGCGATTCTACACATGTCAGTTTGCCTTTGACTGGGGTAAATCTGATCACTTCCTTTCTTTTGTTTTCGTTTCAGCTTCCCAAATTATAACACCTATTTTATGGATCCCACGTTGTGACAGGTGTTTCCTGGTCAGGTATGCTTTACCTCACTTGACAAAATGATTTAATCAATTCATTTCATCATAAATAAAACACATGGTTCTCATGATCTAGCCAGTGGTTGTTATACCATTTTTTTCTCTTTCTCAACCTACTAATGCCAAGGACAAGCTACGGATTATCGTCTGTCAGGTTGAGGTTGGGTGGACACCTAGTTCATTCTATTATATCTTGCTACAGCTTGCACCTATCTGATGTCCATATCTGTGGTTCACTGCAAGCATTTCTGGCTAGGTTTTTAACACAGGCACAAAATCAGGCACAATCTTGTGACAAAAGAAACACATGTTTTTCAGAACATACAGCAATACCATCACTTGTACAGTGCTGTACAAATTATTACCACATTCAGTTATACCAGTATTTTCAATTCCATCCATTTTGTGTTACTTTCCTAATTTCTGGGCAGCCATTTTCCACTTGGTTTGATATTTGTGTGTCTAAACTGGCCCTTTCATCTTTGCAATGTGGGATTCTAGCCTTGTGTTAGAGGAGGTAAGACCATTTCGAAAGTTAACATTTTCTTACACTGAAAATGTATTTCTGATAGGTACTTTCCTCCACTCACACCCTTCTTTCCCTGCTAGTGTTTTTGTGTTAATACGTGCCAATTCTCAAAAGTGAGGATTGAGCTGGAATAGCAGAGGAAATTAGCTGTGACAGTATAGATGGCACAGTACTATTGGTGAAGAGTAGTCACATGACATGTACATTTTCTGAAATGGCATGAAACTGATGGGATATATAGACTGGTGTGCTGATTGCAAAAAACTTTTTAGCAATGCTTAGAGGGCAAACAAGGATCGAGATAACTTTGTGTGAGAGGAAGTAAGTGCCTATTGGAAATACATTTCAGTGTAAAAAAATGTGAACTTTAGGATAGGTAATTCAAGGAAATGAAGACTAAACAATTTTTTTTTAGCCAAACATTAAAATAATGCCAGAAAAACTTCCAGCTGAGTCAAGTAAGTTTGTTTATGTCAAAGTAAATACTACCAGGAGTAGTGAATTTATCACTGTTTGATACATTAATTAATTTCTTATTATAAATGTATATATTAAAAAACATAGATAAACATTGATTTTTTGTGTATTATGTGGTATGTTGAATGCAGCACTGGTTCAAATTAGATGTCTGTGAAGTCAAGATACTAAGTCTACAGTTTTGTATGAATTAGAAACTCAAATTACTTATCTTTTCTGTTTGCTGAGATATTGCTCATGTAATAAATCAAACACAGTGGCACACTGCTCACTTCTTTCCATTTTTGGAAATGCTCCTTTATATACACTTACTTTTATACATGACATTAATAACCAATTGGAAGCTCAGAATGTCCCCCTAGTGACTTTCTCAACCATTTTAAATTCTTAGGATGCCATTTCTTTCTTTTGAACTAAGATTTCAAGGAGGTAGAGTTTGTCTTTAGTCTGCTCGAAAATTTCATATTTTTTTAGACTAAAATACATCTTAGTTACTAAGCTTGATAAATTATAGTGGAATTCTATGGTATCGATGTAGTAATTATTTTGTTTCATATCCTCCACGTGCAAAAGTTTTAAAGGCTAAGCAATCTACATCAAGCAGCAACAGAGTACAAAGGTCATAACTAGAAGAGATAATTGTTTTCCTTACTTCTTTATTTACTGTTCTAAAAAAAATAACTTTAAGAACTTATTTCAAAATAGCAATAATCTATATACATATATAATGTATAATAATTGAAATGAGACTGTATTTTACAAAATACTAGTCTACTAAAACACAGCCAAGACAAGTTACTTTGTACAGACCAAAGGTCAGTATTATGTTATTTGATACGGTGACATGAGTGCATGTGAGCCACATCATTGTAACTTCTGTATTGTTAGCCACGCACGGCTGGAAGGTCAATATAATAAAAATAATAAATATATAATGTTATGAGATTTAAGCTATTTAGTCTAAACATTTATTTTTTTATGTTATAATCTGTGTTGATTCTAAAATGAAAGAGGCATAATTTATATATTTATTTCCTAATTTTTTATGGTAGTTGTGAGATCGTTCAAATCTACCGAACCTGCACAGAGATTAATTACTGAAAATAAAAGTTAAAATATAAAGTTTTTATCAAAAAATGTTTGATAACTATCTGGACATTATAAAGATTTTGCATGCGGAATTTGAAAATTTTCTGATGCATAAAAG